ATTAGCTGTAAATAACTTACTTAACAACAAATTGCAGATGTCAATTATACCTAGGCCAATAATTCATTAACATAATAATTACAAATAAGTAATCACGACATAAGATCCATATTAACTTTCTTTTAACCAATCATATTTCATTACTTCGTTCTTCCTTCAGCAACTTTTACACTGCGATCAAGTTATTTAATATCGACGCCGACGGGGGGTTTCCATTTTGACCTACAAAACATTTTGGAAGTACAAAAGTGCTTGAATTAACAAAAATGTCGAGAAAGTTTGCATAGAAACGTATCTATGTTAACTTATATGTTATTTCAATGCTAGTTGTTTAAAACATACCAATGATGCTTTTCGTGTAGATACCTTATAAGTTTCATAATGAATTTCGTAATGCCACTTAATGCATTGTATAACCCCCACGGAATGCTTAAAATATGTGAATACATGATCATATTCTGATACCATTATACAAGTTTGGAAAGTGCTCTTCGCTTCAGATTCTGCCGTGACGTTAACCTGTACACAAGTCTTCAGTTGAAGTCAGAAGAAATTGATATTCGTCACTCTTCCACGAGTCAGAGAGAAATTAACAAACGAAAATGAACAAGTCAACAAGTTTAATTGCTTGTATTCTGGTGGTGTTTATTGGTTTGCATTTCGTCGTTGGTTCCCTGCAAGGTATATGTGGATTTTCCAAATATAATGTAGTTCTAAAATATTAACTACGCTGTTTCCTTATTTTGTTTTAATGCATGTAACCTTTATTTCATACTGTAGATTCAGCAAATGAGAGTAAACGTCAAGTGCTTAATTTGTGCCGGAGAATTCGAAGGCTACCATGTCGTGTTGGCAAATGGAAGCTGTATTGCAAATTTATCAGAAGAAACAGCGTGTACTGGACCCAATGTCGTGTCCATTCTTTTTTGGGGAGCGCCAAATGTGGGCGTAATCACGACTTTAAGTCAGCGATTTGTTGTGAAGTTAGGTGCTGAACCAGGTAATCGTACCTGTATACGGGCAAGGACTGCTGATGACATTTAGTAATAGGCATGTAGACGTATATACATTTCAATATAGAAAAGCGATTAATTTAATTAAAGTAATTCATAACGTAGTTTTAGAATAATATAATTATATATAGTTGTCATATGTAACTGAAATTAATGATCAGAAATAAAAGCATACAAAAACATTGGGATGTTACCTTTCATTCTGGTTAGCATGCATGCATGCATTTTAATATATTTATTGTACAAATCTCTCTCTACATATAACATGTCGCAGTAAGTTAGAATAGGAAATCCAACAAAGATCATCTGAGACTAATTTTTTTTATTAAAACTTACATATATATCTGATATAGTATATCCCGTTTGAGAGAAATATTTTGTACGCATGGAATTTATGCGCTGTATATGTGTGTACTCTAATTAAATCAGTTACCTAACAAAACCGTCTCCATGAGTTTATCTTAAGAAGATGGGGAAAATAGAAAAGCCAAGGAACGATTCTATATATATATATTTTTTTTTCAGGTAGCTCCTGGGTACGAGGTTGGCTCAGACCCACAACCGCATGCAGCTTATCGTAAAATACTACGTACATGCACTGGACCATCACGTTTGAAATAGATATACGAACTACACCCTCAGCAGCGAATTCTTCTAGAAGTCTTCCAATGAAGCTGAATATAAAGGCATTTGTCAGATTTATTCATTTATATACCCCATAGTTAAATAGCGCACTTCAGTTGGGAAAATATTGAAGGAAAAAATTGGTTTTATTTTAGGACACACATGATGTTCAGGTCGAAGAATTACACAACATATAACTGAATTTTCCCTCAATATAAATTTTCTCACAAAACGTAACCGAGCATTATAGGAACAGGATATCAATTTTGTGGTCACATTTGCATTTTCGATGTTCCTTCAGTAGTTTAAGACAAACAGCGCACTTTAGAATGTCACACTGGATCTAACACAGATTTAATTAATTCTGTTCAAACATGCATGTCTCGGAAGCCCTCATGGCGACAAAAATACAGTTAGAATGTCGAAGCAAATGCAGTAACTTAATTATCGCCTCGCTCAGGAATATTAATCGCTTTAAAAGAAAACATTTTTGCAACATATTTAAAGATGTGGGACATATCATATATTTCATACTTTTCAATTGTTTTAAATTGTATGCATGCAATTTATGCGTTGTAAATATGCGGTTTAATTCGATTGTCGGCTACTTTTATTACTAAACTAGACATCAAAACAATCTCGATCATGTGTTTATTTTCACTGTTGAAGAGGAGGGAATGGAGAAAGGTGTTAATTAGCATGCAGTAACGACTCTCCCTAATCCCAAAGAACTGTGACACAATTAACTAAATTCCGAGTGCATATATCAAATTTACACGTTGATTCGCATTAATTGCGACTACTTGCATAATTTGAAAATGGCCCGGACGGAAATTACTTTCGAGTTTCGATCTATTGTCTTCATTGTATTGTAGCTAATATTTTATTATTTAAAAAAAATCATGTTACGTCTATCTTAATTCGTTAGGAAATAAGTTGATTTGTGTGAATTGGTAGTAAATATTTTAATGCGCAAACCGAGCGTGATTGCACGCCATTGACTTTATGCCATTGAGCAAGCAAACATATTATCTGTGATAATATAATGAAAAGCAGACCTGGAAAATGTGTTGATGCATGTTCGTTGGATCCTGAATTATCATTTTTTTAAATGCATAAAAACAATGGAAAATTTGCGGACCATACATAAAAACGCCAAAAAATTTGAACATTGAACAATGGACCATTTGAATTATAGACTAAATTTTGATCTCAACAAGTCTAAATTTTGATCTCAACAAGTTGCTTGTCCTAGGCAACTACTAGACATCCCTACAATTTACTTACAACTGAAACGCTCTCACAAATCTCCTAATTCATCTTCATTAACCTTTAACCCACCCTCAACTTCCTTCCCTACACGTACCGTCTCATGATAACAATAATCACCCGCATTCGATAGTAACCAATTAT